TGAGGAGGTAATTTAGCTGTTTAAATCAGCTGTGTTGGATCAAGGACGCATCTAAAACATGCAGGACACCGGCCCTTGAGGCCTGGAGTTCCCCACCCCTTGTCTAGAAGCTGCCACTTGGCAGCCATCCTGAAATGCCTCCAGACACTCCTTTGGGCTTATTTTGAAGTATTCTTTTAAATTTAACTTTAGTGCTCACAAAAGCAAATACTATAATTGTATGTAGTAACACTGGTCAAATGTAAAACCCTCTAAAAGTGTGCTAATGGAAACACTGGGGAAAACAGTGGTTGGAGACTGAGGTTGAAGTGGTTGCTTCTAAGATGGGGACCTGTCTGCAACCACTCACAGCACACTTCAAAAGGGGCTTTGGTGCATGAGATGACCATAAGAGGGAGCCAGTCTGCAATCAGTGCTCAGTTAGATGGGGGCAAGTTGACAGTTACATGCTAATAACATCAGTCAGACAGGTTGGACATGTGGGGAAGCTAACTGCTATCAAATAGTCATTTCACAGACCTAGAATTGAGTCTAGAGTAGAAATAGCTCTTAACGGAAAAAATTTCCTTTAATAGAAATCTGCATTCAAAGACATTTCTTACAGGATTAGGGTTAATCCGTGGCTGTGAAACCAGCCGAGACTGTCTCCATTTCAGTTCTGTTCTCAACCGTGTGTGCTCGCCTATAGACTCACACATCACAGTGTGTTGTGCGAGTCACGTGTGCCCGCATGTTCACTGGCAGATGCCCAGCGAAGCAGCGTGCGACTGTCGATTTGAGAGTTTGGTATTAAAAAGTCGACTGTGTTCTTTGGAACAACCTCAAACTCCCCACATCCAGCGTGGAGACTGAAGAGTCCTCACTAATTGATGCAGTTTCTCCTCTGTGCTCTGGTCTCTAAGCGAAGCTGGAGAGATAAGATGCTTTTTATTCTTTTTTTTTTTCATCACTCTTTTCCTCCTCCTCGCCTATTTGACCCATTTTATCAGTGGCAGATAAAACCAAACAAATCAGAGGAGCTGGAGCTTCAAACTTTTTGCCCTTTGGCTGGCGTCTCTGACACTGTCTTTTCTATTTCTTCTTCACTTTGATCTGCCCATTTACCATTTCTACCCTTTCCCCCTGTCTCTTTCTGTCTTTTCAGGTTTGAAGTTCTGATAATCAGTTGGTCACACTGTGCCCACTGTTATAACTGCCTGGCTAATATTGTGTCAGCCCCTCTTTTGATGCCAAAACATCCCCGACCCGTTGAGGCAGGGGTGGAGGAACTCCAGGACTCAAGGGCCAATGCCCTGCAGGTTTCAGAGATCACCCTTTCATCAACACACCTGAATCGAGTGATTAGGCCTCAGACCTCTGGAGAACTTCAAGACATGTTGAGGAGGTAATTTAGCTGTTTAAATTAGCCCTATTGGATCAAGGACACATGTAAAACCTGCAGGACACCGACCCTTGAGGACGTTCCCCCACCCCTACGTTAAGGCATGGGCTCCACTAGACCCCTGAAGGTTCGCTGTCCTACCTGACACCAAGATGTTAGCAACAGATCCTTTAAGTCCTGTCTAAGTCTTGAGGTGGGACCTCTTTGGATCAGACAGGTTTTTCCAGCTCATCCCACACATGCTCAATTGGATTGAGATCTGGGAAATTTGGAGGCCAAATCAACACCTCAAAATAATTGTTGTGCTTCTTAAAGCACTCTTAAACCATTTCTGCTTTATGGTTGAGCACATTATCATATTAAAAGAGGTCACAGCCATCATTGAATACCGTTGCCATGAAAAGGTTGCATGGTCTTCAACCATGTACGTACGTGATGTGTGTCAAAGTAGCATCCACATGGATGGCAGGACCCAAAGTTTCAGAGTTCTCACTAATCGCCTGATCGGTGCATGTCAGTTGATGATGTGTTTTGCACTGTAGCGAGCACCATGGACCAATGCTTGACCCCCGTATGGTATCATCAGTTGGCTACAACAATATGAGGTTTCTGTTAGCAGGATGTTTGCTGAAAATCCACTGTTACAGGTTAAGTGCTGGAAAACTCCTCTGTCAAGATGGCTGATAAACAGACTAGATTACTGAATTACCTGTTTAAAACTAGTAACACTATCACCTTTAGGAAGGCTGAGGGCGGCTGGAGATGCAGAGGACTTTGAGTGTTTTACATAAAGTCCAACAGGAGCATCTGTCTTAGGAGTGAGCGGCACTTGTCTAGTCGGAGAACGAATGGAGCTCGTAGAGTTAGATGGGCCGATTCTGCTGAGAAATGTGAAGATCTAAAGACGAGCTGTCACGTACTTCCTGCTTTCCTTCTTCTCATCGACAGCTCACCCTGTGGTGCTTTCTTTTTCCCCCCTCCTACTTCTCAAAGCAAATCACCAGAGAGATCCTCATCAGCAGTTTTGACTTTGACTCACACGCTAGTCCCATGTTCATTTTTCCTCCAGTTTCCAGCCAGTTTTGTTAATACTTTATAGTTAATCTAACTCTTTGGCCTTTTTCATGTAAAGTAGCACACAGCATGTGGTGGTGATGCTGCTGCTGCATTGGTTCTCATCAGCTGTTCCTGCTGTTTCTATATTTATTATTTATATGACACGATTCTTTAATTTTTACTAGGAAACCAGCCAGATAAACCACATTAAATTTAACAGGTTACATCACTGGAAGACCTAAGAAAGGCTTTCTTTATACCACTTTGTGTTAGCGAATTATTAGCTTCATCGTTTGGCTGATACGGTGGCCGTGAGACGTCAAACAGATAGTTGTTTTTTTTTTTTTTAAAGCAAAAACCACAACGGAGCTCGCGTAAAACACAATCACAAAAAAAGCTAAAAAAATGGAAGTGTTTCTGGGGACACGATAATGTAGTAAGTATTTTTGTAGTCTTTTATTCAACTTCTAATGTGCTTTTTTTGTGCTTTTTTTCTCATTGCTGCTGTTTTTTTTCCAGTCCATTTGACCTCTCGGGGGCACCGTAGGCTTATCTCTAGGGCTCCACCATATCATGGCGCCTGTGATAATAATACATTTTTATGTATGCATTTGCATTCACTTGTCCACACAACAACTAGACGAGCCCAGGCATGTCTTAAACTGAGAGCTGCGTGGCAGTCTCCAATAATTTGGTAAAAAGGGCACTATTTCAACAACCTCTACCAAAGCGCTGCACTTCATAAAATATGCAGGAAAACTGTTTCTGCTTAGGGTGGAAATAACACACTTAGGCAGAAATGCATCATATATAATAGCAGATCATGATGTATGTAAACAAATTACTCCACCAAGCGTCGCTGGAGTACTCACTCGTTATGATGGGAAGATCAAACTGTAGATGGAAATTCCTGGTGCGGTTACGTGGTCGAAAAGCCAGGTTTTAAGTAGCTGCTCAAAAAGCTAAGTATACAAGATCCACATTAGAAAATATTTTTAAATTTCAGAATATGTTGTAGGTGCGTTGGAAGAAAAATTCCCCAAAAGGCAATTAAGTGAAACTCCCACAAACTGTCTTGCTTCCTGGTAATAAATTTAGGCCATTATATTCTAATCAGGTACCTGATGAAGGTAAACAGGACAGAAGTGTTGTAATTTTTTAATAAATGTATTAGCGACAGTGTGTGGGAGTTTCATTTAATTGTTTTGGGGGAGTTTTATTATGTGACAATATTGTGTAGATGGTACAAAAGTTACATTGTTAAGTTACTTTCACTGTTGTTGTTAAAGTGTTGCTGATTCTATTCTCACATTAGACTCCTGTTCTGTCTGTCTGTGGATGAAGCTGCTGCTGCCAGCTGAATGACGCTGATTGGAAAACGAGTCGATGTTTTTGCTTTATCAGTTTGAAATACTTTATGGATTAAGCACAATTTCTCTTTGTGTATAAATTATATTCTATAATTGTCCAATAATATTGTCGTTTTCAGAGGGAAAGCTGGTAAACTTAGCAGACTGTCACTGGGTAATATTGTAACTGCAGCTGTCCAACTTTTCTGATATGACATCTGTCCTGTGTCTTTGGGTCTCTGCTTGTACCAGCACCGGTCATATACCTGTGATAATGCGTAGAGTAATCTAGATATTTGCCTTGCACACAGGTACACGCACATGCGCACACATGGCTCTACGTGAAAACATCACATACCACTGAGGTTTTGTACCCATGTAACAGGATGAGAGGATCACATTAGGAGCTTTGCGCCCCCACCCATGGCCTGCTGGCTTGGTCTGATGCCCCCGTTGCAGCTATCTCCAGCTGCTTTACTGCCCTGTGGGGATAAACACTCTCAGGTTCAACCTCTAACAATCTCTTCCCTGCAAAGTGTTTTTGAAATATTTGTGCTTTACCTTTGACCTATAGTAGCTAGCAGGGAGCTTCACACCAGTGCAGTTTTGGCTGTATGATCAAGGCTTTCTCAGTTGCACTTTACAGCTGGCAAAACATAATTTAGTTGACTCCAGCACTGCAGCTCCCAGGGGCCTGGAGCCTGTAACATACACAGCACAGCTAAGTAGCCATAAAGGGATTTGAGGGCTCGAGTTTCTCTCGTATAAACTGTCCAAATAACAGAGTGAGGAATTCTTTTTATCACTCCTGATGCAGCCAGGACTAAAATACAATGAGGATATAATGAGATGATCATCTGATTACTGATATTTATCACCCCACCTTCATCTTATGCAGCCAGCTAACAAAACTATAAAACATTTATCCTTTTTTCTTTAGCTCGTTACCTGGAGATGTGTAAAAGGATCTTTGTTTGTGTCTGTTTATTCTTCATGTTTGTGTAGCATATGTGGGGCTGGGATTGAGATTTTTCAGTCCTACATGTAAGAACTGAATTGTTCATTAGGGTCTAGTGCAGTGCTCATGCAGGACTCTTTGACAAACTCACACATCTGTGAGCATCTACAAGTGTAATGAAATCTGACAGAGAACAAGGAAAAGAAGAGCAGGACCTATTTAATTAGCTTCTCTTCCTCTTGCTCAATAATTCTAGGCTTAGTTCAGAAAGTGGACCAGCGCCTCCCGGTGGCCAACGAGTACCTGCTGCTCTCTGGCGGGGCCCGTGAGGGCGTCTTGGACCTCAACCCCGAGGATCTTGGGGACTATGCCAAAGGGGCCGACTTTGACCTGGACTTCACCCTGTTGGTGCCCGCCCTTAAGCTTCACGACCGCAACCAGCCAGTCACTCTGGACATGAGACACTCCCCGCCCTGCCACTCGTGGCTCAGCCTTCGCCTCTGTGACTCCAGCATCCTGTCCCGCTGGAGCATCTGCTGCCAGGAGGAGAATGGGCATCCCACTGAGGAAGAGGAGGAGGAGGAGGAGGAAATGGGTGAGTTGCAAAAAAAAAAAAGGATAATCAGAGATGAAACTGGGATGGAGAATTTCCCAGACGGAGAGGAGGACTGTGTGTGAGCTGACTGAATCGAAGTCATGTCTCTCATAACTTGATGCACGGTGTTGCGATACAATTTTAAATAAACTGAGCGACGTTTACGAGTGTAACACCTTTTTTACTCACGTCTCAGCCTCTCTCATCCTTTAGGTCACAGTTTACACTGTATAGCACAGAGGAAATAAAGGGGAAACACGTAAACAGTGGAAGATCAATTAAATCTATTTAATGAAGTTTACAGCCTTGAGGCCTGCTCCCAATGATGTTGCGACTTATGCACGTCCTGCGGGAGCAGTTTCAGCGGCTGCAGTAGTTTTTAATTTGCCCGCGATTTTTATGTGACAAATGACGCGTTCAGTGGGAACGGGCCATTAGCGTGCCCGGAGTATTTGTCTGAAATTGGCTTCCGTCGGGACCCTGAAACTTTGGCGCCGTAAATATGTGATGTATTGAGTGTCCTACTTTTTTAGTGTGTATAAACAGCCCCACAAGATTACTGTAGCAGGCTGCAGAGCGCAGCGTCTCGAGTAAAGTGAACAAGAAGTACAGAAAACAATAACAACGGTCTTCAAGGTCTTGTGGGGTTCTGGCTAAGCACCTGAAGTGATGAATGTGAGATCTTCGGGCTCTGTGACTGCACGCTGTGAGATAAATGTATAGAAGCAGTGATTCATCCTGCCTCACTCCATCCCTTCCCCGCTCAGGTAAAGGCTCCATCCCCTCCCTGGGCTCCCCTCAGTCTCTGGATGGATGCTACTTCTCTCCCGCCCTGGTGACGGACTGGTTCTGGGGGGTCGTGAGCGAGGCTGTAGAGGAGCTGAGGCGCAGCCCCCAAAGAGGCATCCCCACCCCAGACCGCCTGGAGAGAAACGGACCCCTCACTACTATTATTCTGCAGGTACAGCTTCGGCTCTTCTTTCGGTGATAAACTGAAGCCCTCTTTACGCCTCAGTCGATAAAGAACATCAGGGCTGTTTAACTTTGCAGCTGTGAGAAAATTGCTCCTATTCATGGGACGTTTATGTGGAGTGAAATCATTATTGCAGAGGATTGTAGTCAAATGTTAAAATCATTTTTTTCGCGCCCTGTTTGTAATTCAGCACCGAGTGTGTGACATTTAATATTCCTCCACACTCTCCTTCCTGCAGGCAGGCTCGAGCCGGGTGCTGTACGACCTTCTGCCGGTGGTGTCGTTTCGAGGCTGGCCCGCTGTGGCCCAAGGCTGGCTGACTGCCAACCACTTCTGGGATGGGAAAATCACAGAGGAGGAGGCCATATCTGGCTTCTATCTGCTGCCCTGCTGCTCCCCGCTGGGTGGTCGGCCCGACAGGGAGTGGAGACTGGCGTTCTCACGCAGCGAGGTGAGGGAGATTGTTACCGTAGTAACAATTTTCTTTGTTTCCAATGTTCTTTTTCATTTATGCTCCATTTTTATTTCACTCTTATTTGCAAAATTGGGTATCATTTTATTGATACTCTTATTGATAATACTCTTCATAATCTTTGTGTGTAACACAAGGATAAAGAAAATGTAGCATTTTTAGCACTTAGAGGTATTTTTACTTTTGAAGAATGAGAATTATTTTGCATCCTTTCTGCTCGCTGATTCAGTGCTGGTGATTTTAAGGCAGCTCTTCCACACATGACGACAGGCGAGGCAAAGATGATGTGTTACTTAACCCTGACTTGTTTTGGAGACAGAAAATTGATGCCTCAAAGTAAGTTTCAGAAGTGAAAATATGCTGACTCTTTTTAGAGTCAGCATATTACATTATATGTAATCATAAAGCAGCCTGTGACAATATCTGACAGAAAGAGTCACTGCAAGTCTGTCTATGTAAGTCGCTCTATTGCGGTGTGGACAGGTCAGCGTCTCTCTCTGTGGCTTCAGAGAAGTAAACACTCTGTGGGAAACTTTTGTTGCCAGCTGACACGTTGAGATCAACTCGAGTAAGGCTGTGTTGCCTTCTGCTAGTTCTCTGTGTGCTCTACTCCATCTCTCACCATGTCTCTAAAACACATACAGCCATATGTGGACATCTGGTAACAGAAAGAAACTATTGAAAGAAGCTAGCACGACCAAACTAGACTGTAGAGGCGATAAATTAGAGAGAAACAAGTGCACATAAATGAGGAATCTAAGTAAAAGTCAACAGCAGCTCCCTGCACTCTTTCCTACTAACTGGTCACTCATTGGCTTTTGTTTCTTCTGTTACAGGTTCAGCTGAAGAAGTGCATCCCCTTCCCCATGGCCCAGGCGTTCCAAGCAGCCAAGGCCGTCCTATCTCGTATCCTGGCCCGTCCACGAACAGGCCTCAGCCTCTACCACCTGCGCACCCTTCTCTTCTGGGCCTGTGACCGACTTCCTGCTGCCTACCTGTCCTGCCCGGACACCGACACACCCGGCCGCCTCCTCCTGGGACTCCTGGATGATCTGGCTCATTGCATCCTGGGTAAAAACTGTCCAAATTACTTCCTGCCCCAATGCAACATGTTGGAGCATCTGACAGACGGCCAGGCACTCCTTGTCGCCAGGAAATTGGCCCACGTGCGCTCTGATCCCAGCGAGCACCTGCGGGCGGCTCTGGACCAAGCCCAGCAGGCGGGCCAGCTGAAGAAGGAGCTGACAGCAAGCACTAACGGCCACAACTCCCCTGGGCATCACTCGGCCAACGGCATCATCTCACCTTCAGAGGACAAGCTGGCGCAGCGGCTCCAGCAGCTGGTCACAGAGAACCCTGGGAAATCCATATCCGTCTTCCTCAACCCCGATGATGTCACCAGGCCACACTTCCGCATCGATGACAAGTTCTACTGACGCAGACACGCTGCAGGGAAGACGTATGGAATTAGGTGTGTTTAGCTAACAAACACACTGAAGAACGCTGTGCACACGCCTCCTGTTTGACCATCCTACGGCGATGAAGCCGTGCTGCTCGACTGACTCTTTAAACCAAAAACACTCATTTCTCACTACTGAAAAAAACGAAACAAAAAACGTCCAGTTTACACGACGTTGCATAATGGACATGATGTCACCAAGCTGTTGCCACGGAGATGGCCCTCTCCTAACGAGCTGGCCTTAACAAGACTTATCAGCTGGTGCTGAAGACAAGGGCCGGGCTTTAGTCACGAAAAATAAGTCCAGTGGAGATGAACACAAAGTGTGTGTGTGTGTGTGTGTGTGTGTGTGTGTGTGTGCATGTTTGCCCAAGAGTTTTCATCCATTACTTACACTTCTGAAGTCAGCGGGAGAAAAGCTCCATGTTTGGTGCATTTCTCCCTTTTTTATTCCAGATCAGAGTGGGCGATAGCTGAATTAGAAAGGAAAAACAAGGTGTGACTGATGTAACTGAATGTAATGTTGTAAGGAGAACTGCCGAGTCTTTATAGTCTCTTTTCTCTTTAAGCTATATTTTAGCCCTTTTTTTTTTTTTGACCCTCATGCCTCAATTTATGACTTTTTTTCCTCCTCACTTTAAAAAAAATCTTTCTCAGGTATGCACAACCCTGTTTTTGTAGGTCTATGATTATAATGTTTCATGTCAAATACATTTCATGGGGTGATGGAATGTACCAAAGAGCTACGTTTGAGCAGAACAAACACGTTTTAACATGTGTCGACATCGTACTCCACACGGTCAGAATGTTTGTTTGCCTTTTATCCTTTGAAAGTCTCACACCGGCATGTAAAATGGTAAAAGTGACCCTAAAATTATAGTTTAAAATGTGTGTAAAGAGTGGATCAAATACAAAGTGCAAAACTTGCAGCAGAACAAGATTATCGGAGCACGGTGACAGTTTGAGAAAGTAATGGTTTCAAAATATGAAATTATAAGTTTGAGTCTAAAATGTTTATGATTTAAAACTCATAAAGCTATATATAATTAGAAGAAACTAGGAGTAGGGAAAAGGGAGCAGGGCCTTTAAAATAAATGTAATAAATGAATGAAAAACATTTAAGTTCTGGTAGGTAATCGGCAAAGAAAGGCAATTTAATTTTTTTCCAATACCAATATAAAAGTAAAACTGACGACTGTCAGTTTTCATGCAGTGATATTACCATGCAACTCCTATAAGTCATATTAGTGCAATGATAATGTTTCAAGTTTATTTAGGGTAGCTATGCAGCTCTTTAGTTGTTTTGCACCTCTAATTTTATTCCTCTGTCACAGTGAAAACTGTTCATGCAAACGATAATGAGAAAGGAGTCAATAGCTAAAGTGTGCCAGACGTTTTATCTCATTAGCGCTCGACTTCTTGCTTACTGACTGACTGTTAGCAAGTTGTTAGAAGCCATTTTTTCCCTCCGCTTTAGTAGAACTGAAGCGCATCAAATGATATCCCACACACAAAAACAACACAGTGAGAAGAAAGGAGAAAGAACCTGGGTGAGCTATTGTAACTGACTAGTGCTAGCATGCCTTGGGTGCTTGCTTTTAGCTGTTAGCGTGCTGGCTACAGTAGTACACTGCCTCTTCCAGAGCCACAACAGTTACTTCACTATGGTACTGAAACCGGTATGTACATTATGAACTACTGTTTGATTATAAAAAAAAAAGGAAGCTTTTTTTTCTTAAAAACTAAAAGCATCTGTTAACTTTGTTAATTTAAGACAGCTGGCACACAGCTAGCATCTGTAGCATTACCTTTCTCAAGTCAAAAAGAGTAAAATAATGTAAAAAGAATGAGAGGGAGACTGTCAGTCAGCTAAGCTATTGTCAAAGATGTGGCTCAGCTTTGCCATTTCACTTGCTGGTGTGAGAATAAACTAAAATTCAAGCAGTTCAAGAATTTAAGAAATTGCTGGTACTGCTAAGTTATCACTGTAAGTTCTAGATAAATCCATAAAACTTTAAGCTTTTCAGTTTTGACTTTTGAGTGCTATGGTAGGCACTTTAAAAGGGGATTAAGAAAACTGAGAATACAAAAGGTAACTATAAAGCAGCAACTATACTCTGCTTGTTGTGTGATGACATATGGACCCTGTTTCCAGGTCCATTTAGTCAGTTTTGTGCATGGCGGCACTCGTCTCGCTGCTGTACTTCTCCATAAAGTACCCCTCTGTACTTTATGGATAAAAAGTACTCACCCCAAAGCATATCTAATTAATTGCCTTTGCTGCTGTGTTGATATTCGCATAACAACACTTCTGTAGTCAGCCAGCCTGACTTCACTAACACTCCTTTTTGTTTAAAGTTATAGCTTTTGTATACTTTATGAACACTTCATCAAGTAGCTAGCTAGCTAACTTCACTAAACTTTGGACGTCATCTTTTTAATGACCGCCTGGATGCTACACATGATTGTACACAGTTAATTGGAGTTGAATGAATTTGGGCCGTTTTAACCCTCAAAGCTGCCTAAAAGGTGTTTACTTTTGCTCACCGAAGGAGAATTTGGACGCAGAAATAGATAATTCTTTTTTGGCGCTATTGTGTACTACAGCCACCACTAAGTCTACATACTCCAGTACATCTCTTCGTTTTAAACATTGTGTAAGCACATCCATTCACGTACTGTAGGGGAAACACACAGTTTAGTGTCGTTTTTGGAGGCTATTTTTGACTTGACTGCTTCTGGTAATTGTCGCGTCTCCTCCGCTTGATTAGTCTTTTTTTTTTTAATGAGCTTCATGTGCTTGTATATGCGCCGACGTGTGTGTTCACTGAGAGACGAACCTTACAGCAGGGTGCAGACAGACACCCAAATGGTGACTGTGTAATTTCCCCCCTCCGTGGGTGCAGGTGATTTGAAGTTGGCCTTTTAACTTCACCCCACTTCTTCTGGCAACTTGCTGGTCCAAACACGCACACACACAAAAAGCTCTTTATACTTGGTATCACTCCAGCACGCTGTTTACTCTGTTAGCAGACGCTCTCCTGCAGCGCCACTTCGCTGATTTGATTACAAGCCGCTGCAGCAGAAGCGAGAAGCAAATCCAGATCACTTCCACTTACATGGATTTAGAGAGAGTTTGTTTTGCTTAAGTGAATTTGAGACTGCATGGCTAAATTTTGATTCAATTAGTTGACCCGACACTGCAATGCTGCTTTCAGTGTTGGGTACAAAACACAACAAGCACACGAGTGGGTACAAGTCTCCTTAAAAATCAGGGTGGTGGTTGATTTTAAACTACTGGTTAGAATGTTTCAGGTGTCCTGTGTTACACTGTCAGCTATTGTGTACTTACTACTGAATGATTTTTAAAAGTAAATAATATGTGTGCGCGTGTGTGTGTGTGAGCCTGAGGAAAACCAAAGTGTGTTGTCGAGGCTGTACAGAATGTCTCAGCATGGTGTGTATTCAGCTGTTTAAGGTGGACTGGGTGTTTTCAGCACTTTCTCCAAGATGGGCCGGATTATGGCTGCCCAGACAAGATTTGATGACGGCGTTTATTTATTGGAGCGTAGAGGTGTGTTTAAAACGTGTCACACCTTAACAGGCCTAGTTAGAGATTACTAGACACTGGAAACAATCAATGTTTTTACCTGAATTGTTGAATTGTACACATAAAATCTTTGGGGTATTAGTATTGATTCATAGATATGCAAACAACACCCCCGAATCAGACGGCCTGTGTGTAGATTTATTGTCGATGTAAAAAACGAGGGATTGAGTCACTATCTGCTCTCCAGGAATGAAACACCTGAACACATCACTGTCTTCTCTTTGCTATTCTCCTTAATTAAAAAAAACCCTTTTGGTTATTAAAACTTTTGAATGTATCCTCCATATCTTTCTAATTTGTTCCCTACTTGAGATCAGTCACCCTTCACTGTTATCTAAGCAGATGTAGTGTGCTCTATGCTCAGGCACTGAGATAAGCATCTGTAGCGAGTCAGTCCACAGTTTGAGAAATTGAATTTCATATCTCTCTTATTACTTGAGTTCTTTCTCTATTTTTTTCTTTCTTTCTTTAAAAAGAAAAAGCAAGTTTTTATTTCTCCCTATGCTGACTGATTTGCTTTATTTATTACCGTTTATGTTCTCGGGGTTTATATTGATTGATCTTAAAGCTTTAGCATGAAATAAAACATTACTTTTAAAATGCTACCACGTGCTGTTCTTTGATTATGTGTGCATCATTTTTATAAGGATAAAACAGTGCTCTGTTTCCCTGTGACTAGTCTGCAGTCTAACAGAGCACGGCAGTCTTTAACATCAGCTGCAACACGCGTTTAATCCAACAGAGGGCACCACAGGACAGCGTTTACAGCGAGGCCGCTACAGACCCGCCCCACTGCTGCTCTGATAAGAAGCTGATGTTGGATTCTGTCAGCGTCGGTACGCTCTCGTGATGAATGTCAGCTTAAAACTGGTGCTAACCTTGCAGCCACATCTCAGTCAAGTTCTTTATCCAAGTCACAGCAACAAAGTCAGTTCTGTTTTCTGGATGCGGAAAGGTCAGAGGTCAACCTCGAAGCCTAAGCAACACAGATTCTTGCTGATCTATTGGTAAAAGACGTTTGACAACATGTAAGAGATGAATGAAGAGAAATAAATACACATATTTTAGGACCCCTTTATTATAAACACATTTTTTTTTAATGTGATATCTTCAACTTGTGCACACAACACTGCTAACAACCAAACAAATGGAGCAGATTACATACAGCCTCGCTTTGAGGAGAGAAAAAGTTACTGCTTGGAGTTTCAGACACCAGCTTTACTTCATCATTATTGTTATGGCAGTATTAACCTAAACGAACTTTGAACTGGGTTTATTCTAGGTTTACTTCAGAAAACTAGTACTAATCTAAATCTACAAACTTCTTCCATTTACCAAAAGACCACCGAACAGCACAAGGCTGATGAAATTGAATAGTTCACCTTCATGTCTGTTAATGTCAGCTTGTTCTTAATGTGGAGCTTTCTTTATTTTCTAGCTTGAATATTTCCCTGCTCTCTTACTTTTGCTTTCTTGTCTTTCCCGGTTGCTTTCCCTTTCTTTTTCTCACTTACTTTCTCTTTTGCTTTCTTGCTTTTCCATAATGTTAAGCGATCAGACACACTGACTATTATTTATATTGTAAAATACTCTGTTAACACATTTGCACTATTTTAACTTCTTTAAGTTTCTTCATGTAATCTCTCTTGAACTTTCTCAACAGAGGTTTGTGTAATTCTTCATCTGTGGTTGGTTATTTCCTGGGGTGCAGATCCCGGGTGGGTAATTTGACAAAAATAATTATGAGTAATTTGGTTTTGTCCCCAGGTGACATTTGAGAATGTTATCCATAGCCTGTCATTAGTTATGTGATGATGGCACAGATGTTTTTGGTACAAACACACACATCATATCGTTTTCCATTAATGCCCGAGACCTCACGCTGATAGCAGCAATCTGTTAATGTCTTTTAAGCAGATTATGAAGCGAGGAAATCGCTGGATTGTTTGATTTACAGATGCGACTCTGTCACGCTCTGACCTCATGAGTCACTGGGACCAGTGACACCGTGGACCCTTCATCTGCCGTCGGCCCCACAGTGACCTGGCTTTAAACCTGAGACTGTGGATACAGTTAGTTATAATTTTTAAAAATAACTTTGCCTCTACACCAGCACAGTGGATTTTAAACCAAACAGTCATGATGTGAGTCATAAATTTCATGTTTTTTAGGGTGCTGAATTCAATTTTCCTCCATCATGTACAGTTTTTTTGCAAAAAAGGACAACAGCGATGAAAAAAATCTATATTTTGTTACAATTAACTATGTATCATTTTTCTTATAATTAAAGAAAGAAACAAAAAACTATTCCTTCACAATATATTTACCACTTTTTGTCTGTGAAACCTTTTCTTCTTCTCTTTGATGCTCCTCCGAACACGCTTTCGCTTTATTTCTCTTGATTCTCACTCTTAGAAATATTACATTAATATAAGAAATCATTAGTAGATATGGTTTTTTGCCTCCAGTATAGGATACCAGATTAAAAAGGGAAATTATACGCTTAAGTAAACTAAAAGCATGAAAACCTGACTTGATGGAATTTAAAAAATATTTTTCCAGGTTTCAGTGATTATAAATCTATAAGGAGCAGTCAAAAAATCCTATGCAGTTTTTTGGTTGCAGACGTGTTATTGAATTCAATAACAGAAAAAAAGTCAGATGTTTCTGCGGGTATGTGGTCACACTCCCTGATTGTGACTGTGTTCACTGGTCCCCCCTCACATTCACATGTCCACATCCTTCACCGTAGGGTTTAACATGTCCTCATCGGTGCCTCTCTCTTTTAAATAGGCCAGTGTAACCTCGGCCCTCAGGCAGCCTGTTTTGGTGTGTTTGCAGTTTGGAAGTTGTGAATGAGGCCAGGCTGTAACTACCACCGAGCTGAGCAACTGGGGCTGAACGGGGACATGTGTTCACCTGATGCACATAGTCGTAACTGTGCCATTGGGCCTTTACCCATCCTCTCATCCGAGTTACCTGCCTAAATGCAAAAGGTGTGAATATGTAAGTGTTCATGTACCAAAACCCACCATAACCCGCTATCATCCATCCGTGGATTTGACAGAAGAGCTGGATCTCGAAGCGTCCTTACTCACCTGTAGTTGTGTGTGAAACCACGTGACACGTCACTAAATCAGTTCCACAGTGGACATCACTTCACACATTGATGATTTATATTCAAACTCTGTCTGCCTTTTTCTCACCATCATGCCCTGTGTGCGTGTTTCTGTGAAACTTGTCCCCGTGCCAGCGTGCATTAATCTCCATTATTGAATCATGTGTATTAAGAGTTTGCAGGGGGGGGGGAAGAAAAGGGAGGACAAATGGGAGAGAGCTCTGCTTTGTTTTCATGCCGCGCACACGTCGTGGGTGCCTCCCCCAACCTTTTGCCCTTGTGCTGTACAGTTTCAGCCGCTCCTTTCGGGCCTCATAATGGTCGCTGTCATAGCTGATTGTGAATCACACGTCATTAAGCTGATAGTTTTCTGCTATGATTGAGTGGCGCACGTGAAGGTAGATGTAAAATTCAAGAGAAATGCACACTGTCGCCTTTCTAAACGTATGTGTAGTTAATCTTTTATGGGGTAATGCATTCTCCATGTGCAACTGTATAGCATGTTTCATTTGGTATCTCTTATTCCGACCTTTAGCCGACTCTTTAGCATAGCCTTCCTCTGGACTAGGATTGGTTAGATCAATTGGCCCACCTCTAGCTCCAATAAAAAAATGGTGTGGATACTTGGGGTTAAGGCTACGTCCACACGTACCCGGGTATTTTTGAAAACGCAGATTTTTCTATGCGTTTGCACCTTTCGTCCACACGTAAACGGCGTTTTTGGTCATGAAAACGGAGATTTTTAAAAACTCCTGCCAGGGTGGATATTTTTGAAAACTCAGTTTTTGCATTTACGTGTGGACGAGAAAACGGAGAAAACGCAGCGTCAAAGGTGTGCGCCTTTTTTGACGTCACACTGTGCGCCACGTTATTGTTTCGGTGAAATGGATTTCTACAATGGCGGACTTAGACAAAATACTGTTACTGTTAATTTTACTCTCTGCAGTGTTTACATGCTTACATATACAACACAGTTTCTGTCCCTCCACACATAGGACTCAGTTCTGCTTCTATGCGCCATCTTTGTTTACTCTTTCCCACCCAGGCTTCTAGACTTCTGATTGGCCAACATTTCTACACGGTTAGGAATATATCGCCACCTGTTGCTTTGGAATGTTCCTAGCAGCGTTTTCCTTTGTTTTTGCGTTTACGTGTGGATGAGATTTTTTTTTTTTAAACGAAAACAGAAAATCTCCGTTTTCAAAAATACCCGTGTACGTGTGGACGTAGCCTAAGTTTTTAATTTTTTTGCTGTTTTGTTTTATCAGTTGTTCTTAACTTATTTGCTGTATAGCACATTGGTCCTGTGTTGGCTGTTTTAAAGTGCTTTATAAATAAAGTTGGATTGGAACTTTCTACCATAAGCTTTTTGCTGTCTATTTTTGGGGAAATTCTAGTTTTATTTTGGCATACCCATGTCTACAACAAAAGCTGTCACAGTGCCATATAAGCTACGCTGTAGCATTATGCGCACCTTCTTTGAACCTACATATAATAGCAACAAACAGCAGCTGTGAGAGGTCTATATTCTTGTAGTATGCTGTTTAAAAACCATATGCTCACATGACATTAGTATGAGGTGAGTACCTCTATGAAACAAAATGTAAAAGACCAAAATTTTATCTAGCTTGCTAGCTTGCGCTATGCTAATTTCTACACTGATAGCTTTTTGGCAGCGCTGCTTTTCTCATTGTGAACCGGCTCCTCCTGCAATTCAGTCAAAGGAACTGCCAGTTTGATATATTGGAGACCTTACCCATTTAAGAGCTTGATGTAAGCTTTACGAACACGTAAAATTTATGCAAATACTTCAAGTTTTGTTTTGTAGAAACAAGCTAGATTTTGCTGACCTGTATAAACAGATTTGACCAATCTCACCACTGCTTTGAATGGGTCTCTGAAATGATTTCTTTGCCTCCTTAGATGTGGTGCCAACTCTGCCGACAAGAGCTCAAACTGCCATGCTGACTTCCTGAAATGTACAAAAGCAGCTGCGATACAGCTTCAACTTCCTGCTGTTGCCTCCTTGTGACATTTAAATGAACCAGAATTTCCGTTTCTTCCTTTTCTTGTCAAGAAACATCAGGACCAGCGCTGATGTCAACTTTATTGTTTTCACGCATTTTTGTATGTATGTACTGTATGTTTGGTGTGTGCATATACATTACACAACAACTTCAGACCCAAATAATTTTGAATTTTGTGTCATGTTTTTGCAGCATGCTCGGTGAGTAATGACCTTTAGCCACAGACCAACCTTTATCTCGGGTCAGGTCTGCTAGTTTTTTCTCAGCAACTACTGTTACACATCTCAGCTGCAGCTCTGATTTAATGATGTGAAATATCAGCAGGTCACATTTTTCACCAGCGTACGTGTGTGTGTGTTAAGCCAATCTCCATCAAATATAGGGTGAGAATGCCTTATACAAATGAGGCCCTGTAAGTTTGGCTCCGAGCAGAAGTAGAGATGCCAAAATGATTTTTGCGCCCATCGATTTTTGACAGGGTAGTCGATGCTGTTGACTTTGTGGCTTGGCCAGAGAATGTAAAACCTCCTGCCTCAAGTTTTCTTATCTACAGGCTCAGGAGAGAGGAAGCGGAAGAAGGAGCGGGGGTAAAAACCAGCGTGTCTTTCTCATGCAGAGTGTTTGCCCTGCTGTTCATGACTTAAGCACTTTTTCTGTTTAGTTTGTCATCAAGTTCACTTGCAGAATTAATCTCTCACATAGCAGTTCCTTCATCTTATTATATAAGCATCCTCCTCAGTTGTCTCTGTCTGTAGACTGCTCGACGACTCTTGCAGGAGGCACTTGATGACATCACTGTTGATTGTAATGCTGCCAGTGATGCCCATCATTGGACACAATTACTTTTATCGATCATCTCTACCTTCTCTCCTCTCCTTTGCTCGCCTCCTTTCAACTTTGCAGACACTGCTGTTGGCGTCAGATCCATGTGTGTGTGAGTGTGTGTGTGCGCACAGCAGGAAATGTCTAACTCATATCCAGAGAAATCTTCTTTAAAACTTGGATAACATCTTTAGCAGCAGACCAGCTTTGACTTAATCTCCAGCGAGCTTTACACATCAGATATAATTGTTGTCCTCTTTTACTTGCAGCTACATGACTAACAAATGTGCTGCTAACAGATGGGACATAGTGTATGGCACAGACGTGGGAGTTTTATCAATGTCCCATAAGAGGCGATTTGTTCGGCTGAGAACAGGAAACAGACAAAAGACCTGGAGGTGAGGGAGAAAAGTTTCACCAGTCAGTCATAACCAACTGTAAAATAATATTGATTTTACACAGCCACGTGTTTCAGATTTGCACCATGACAAACAAGAAGAAACAAGAAACA